AGGAAAAAATTCTTAAGAAAGCAGTAAAATTATATGAAGGAAGATAGATTATTAAAAAACTAGGATATGAGGACTTCTTCCAAGATGGAGGCGTAGGTGGAAACATTGTGCCGTCTCGCACAATCAAGTTTAAAAACAACAGTTTTAGCAACAAAATACGAAGCCAAACCACGTAAAATTGAACTATACTGAAGTCCGACAACAACGAATCACTCACCAGATGGGTAAGAGGGGCAGAGCCAGCAGCGGAGCAGGGTTGGGCAGGAAAGATCCACCAGATGGACCCAGGCACGCAGGCAGCCGAAGACAAGTCCCATGTGTGGAGTAGCAACAGGTGGACCCATTGAGGGGGCAAGGCAGCAGGCTGATCTCGGTCACACATTCATGCGCAGATAAAACAGGCAAAGGAGCTAGCAGTGAGACAGATTGTGCAGGCCCCAGCGGCGGGAAGCAGCAGAGGGGACCACCATTGTCTCTCTCTGACCCCAACCCCACATACAGTGTCACAACCCAGCGACCTGGGTGGCCCCACCCTGGTGAACACCTAAGACTCCTCTCCTCATACATAACAGGCGCAAACAGACCAAAACATGGCTCAAGAAGAACTCAAAGCCCAAGAGCCGATAAATCTAAGCGATGAAGAAATACCCGAACTTTCACATGCACAGTTCAAAACACTGGTAATCAGGATGCCACAGAACTGGTTGATTTTGGCCATAAATTAGAGGAACATATGAAGACTAAACTAATTGAAATGAAGGGAAAGGCAGAGGAAAGCAGTACTGATGGAAAGGAAACTGGGACTCAAATCAAGAGTGGACCAGAAGGAAGAAAAAAAATGACCAAACAGAAATATGATGAAACAAAAATTCAAACAATGAGGAGAGGTTTAGGAACCTCCAGGGCATCTTTAAACACTCCAACATCAGAATTATAGTGGTGCCAGAAGGGGAAGAGGAACAGCCACGAGTGGAAAACTTATTTGAACAAATAATAAAGGAGAACTTCCCCAGTCTGGCAAAGGAAATAGACTTCCAGGAAATCCAGGAAGCCCAGAGAGTCCCAAAGAAGTTGGACCCAAGAAGGAACACACCAAGGCACATCATAATTACATTAGCCAAGATTAAAATGAAGGAGAGAATTCTAGAAGCAGCAAGAGATAAGGGGACACCTACACAGGAGTTCCCATCAGACTGTCAGCGGATTTCTCAAAAGAGACCTTACAGGCAAGAAGGGGCTGGAAAGAAGCATTCCAAGTCATGAAATCCAAAGACCTACATCCAAGACTGATCTATCCAGCAAAGCTTTCATTTAGAATGGAAGGGCAGATAAAGTGCTTCTCAGATAAGATCAAATTCAAGGAGTTCATCATCACCAAGCCCTTATTATGAAATGTTAACATGTGAAATAACATATGAAATGTTAAAGGGACTTATCTAAGAAAAAGAAGATAAAAAAGATGAACAGTGAAAGGACAGCAAACTCACAGTTAGTAACAACCACACCTAAAACAAAAGCAAACTAAGAGGACAGCTAGATCAGGAGCAGAACCATAGAAATGAAGATCACATGGAGGGTTAGCAACAGGGGAGTGGGAGGAGGAGAAGGGGGGAGAAGGTACAGAAAATAAGTAGCATAGACAGTAGGCAAAAAATAGATAAGGGGGGAGGGTAAGAATTGTAGGGGAAATGTAGAATCTAAGGAACTTGAGACATGTGGACATAAAGGGGACATAAACTAAAGGGGGGATGGTAGGAGAGGGGAATGAAAGGGGGAAAATTGAACAACTGTAATGGCATAATCAATACAATATATATATTTTTAAAAATTAGGATATGTTACATAGAAAAAAGGTTTTAGATGTTAGGTAGTCCTCAGAACTTGTTAGTATCCCCAAAGAGGGGTTTCTTACTGAGATTTAACTTTCAATTCTCAGAGAAATGGAATGCTCGGATTACTGGTCTACGCAAACAAGTTGAAGAATTGTTTGAAAGAAAATATGGTGAGTCTAAACTGAAAAATTCTTGTAATATTTTGTTCATACATGTTCTTTGAAAATTTTTTAAATCGATTGAGTTTAGAGAGACAGGGGAAGAGAGAAACATGGATTTCTTGTTTCACCTACTTCGGCATTCATTGGTGGATTCTTGCATATGCTCTGACCAGGGATGGAACCTGCAACCTTAGTGCATCAGGACAACACTAGAACTACCTGAGCTACCAGCCGTTCCCAGCCAGGGCTTGTTCATAGGTTGTTAACAATGGCGTTACTGATGCTCTAACGTGAGAAGGTCCAGCTCTGTTAGTAAACTGTGCCTTACTTACCTATCTGTCCCCTGAAAGATTATTGGATAGTGTCTGTCCAGATATCACAGTCTTTGTTTCTAGATTTCTTCAAAGCTTAGAGAAAGTTTTTTCTCTTTAGGTCTCAATAAGCATTTCTTTTAAACTTTCAGCATGTACATTTGGGACTTTATTTATATTCAACAGGGGGAAGTAGGTTTACAGTTATGAGTATGTGAAAGAATTTATTCTTTTTTTAAAGATTTTATTTTATTTAATTAATTTTTATGGAGAGGAGCAGGGAGGGAGAAAGACAGGGAGAGAGACATTGGTGGTTGCATCTTGAATTCCCCCAACTGGAGACCTGGCCTGCAACGCAGGCACGTGCCCTGACCGGGAATAAAACTGGTAACCTTTCAGTTTCCAGGGCAACATCCAACCCACTGAGCCACGCCAGTCAGGATCAAAGTTTATTCTTGTATTATTTATTAATAATTGCATTGTTTTTCATACCAACATTTGACCACTTCATCCAGATATGTTGCAAGTTTTAGATCTTAGAGATTTAATTGAAGATTACTTTCTTAAATATACTCTATCTTAATCTGTTGTGTTAAATTCCGTATTCTTGTAGATGTTCTTATTTTCTCATCTTGTACATAACTGGCTTTAAGTTAGATCGATCACAAGTTCTTTGTTGTGTTTTACTATTCTCTATATAGTACTAAAAGAAACAAGCAGTTAGTCATCATCTGATGGTATATATCAGATGCTCACCTAAAAAGTAGTGACAGCCCCAGCAGGAGTAGCTCAGTGGGTTGAGCATTCATTGTCCTGCAACCAAAGGGCTGTGGGTTCAATTCCCGGTCAGGGCACATGCCGAGGTTGCAAGTTCATCCTCTGTGCAGGCAGACACTCGTGACCCCCAGTCCAGATGTGTACAGTCTGGGTGCATACAAAGGCAACCAACTGATGCTTCTTTCACACCAGTGTTTCTCCGTCTCTCTTCCTCTTTCTCTCCAAAAAAATGAAACAAATGAGCCCTGATGTGACTCAGTGAATTGAGCACTGGCCTGTGAACCAAAGGGTTGCTGGTCTGGTTTCCCATTGGGGTACATGCCTGAGTTGTGAGACGTCTCCAGATGGGGTCATGAAAGGCAGCCATACACTGATTTTTCTCTCTTTCTTTTCCCCTCTCTCTGAAAAAAAAAAATACATCTTTTTGTAAAGGTTTTATTTATTTATTTTTAGAGAGAGGGGAAGGGAAGGAGAAAGAGAGGGAGAGGAACTCAATGTGTGGTTGCCTCTTGCACACCCCCTACTGAGGACCTGGCCCGCAACCCAGGCATGTGCCCTGACTGGGAATTGAACCAGCAACCCTTTGGTTTGCAGGCCCGTGCTCAGTGCACTGAGCTACACCAGGCAGGGCAATAAATACATCTTTAAAAAAAAAAAATTAAAAAGCAATGAAAATGTCCTCATGTAAGGTGGTAATGATAATAAAAATAGTAATTGTTTTTAAATACAAATTTTGCTGTGTTTTTTGTTGTTATTTGGAGGATTCTTTGCTATCGACTATAAGTAATATTGTATAATATACTGACTTAACTTGGAAATCTAATTTTCGTGGTGCTATTCTGTATGACTGAATTTTTCTAAGTATTTAAATGATAAACCACATTGGCATTATTTACTTTAATGATCTTGAAATTAACATTTCTCTATTTATCATGAATGAACCTCAAGATTTAGAATCAGAGTAAATTGAATAATGAAATAATTTACTTCCTCAAATTTTCAGTTGTTTTTTCTTTAAGGTTCTCTTAGTGTTCATCTCATTTATTCATTCATTCATTCATTCATTCATTCATTCATTTTAGGAAGAAAGGAAGGAAAAGGAGGACGAGAGGGAGAGCAACATGAATTGGCTGCCTCTGCACACCCCCAAATGGGGACTCGGCCCACCACCCAGGCGTGTGCCCTGACCAGGAATGCATCTGAGGACCTTTCAGGTTATACTCAGTCCACTGAGCCACAACTGCCAGGGCTTATCTCACTTTTCAATGGTCAGAGTGTTTTCCTAGTGATTTTAATTGGTCTACTTCAGAACAAATTTTGGCCCTGACCAGTGTGGCTCAGTTGGTTGAGCATAGTACTGCAAAGTGAGAGACCACCAGTTCAGTTCCTGGTATAAGCCTGGGCTGTCGGGGGCATGTGAGAGGCAACCAATGGCTTTTTCTCTCTCTCTTTATTTTTCCTCCCTTCCCCTCTCTCTAAAAGTAAGTAAATGAAATCTTAAAAAAAAAAAAAGGTAAAAACTGATAACATGTTCTACACAGGAAGCAGTATAACATGGTGATTGCCTCAGGGGAAGCTATTTTCATTGTTAAATGTGAATATGATTTTCAGGTGTAGCATGTCAACAAAGATATTCAATCTAACTCATTATTAATAAGTAATATGGTAGACTTGAAACTTTAATACAAATATTACCATGTAGCGAATAGACGTTTATGTAAAATACTAGCAAAAAAATTTGGACTGTTCTCACATCATTCCTGAGGGAGGAGAGGTTGAGTGGAATCCCTAGAAGTCGCGTTTGGTTTGGGGCCTTTTGGGCAGGGTCAGAAGCATCTCCGCTGTTCTTTCAGCTACTAGAAAGCATTGTAGGTGGCTGTGCTGTGTGAGTTAAATGAGATGGAAGCCATTGAAAGAAGAATGGAATGTGTGTGGTATGTGTCTGGAGACAGAAGCCTTTGAAAGAAGAATGGAATGTGTGTGGTATGTGTCGGTTGTCATAGACAATTTGGCATTGTTTTACTTAGTGACAAAAAGGTTACCTGTGGAAATTTTCATGCTAACTATAAATGTGCCTGTATTATGCTTGAACATACTAATAGTTCTTAATTTCTTTTTATCATGAAAATTTCCAAACAAAAACAAAAGAATAAAGGCCCTCTAAATATTCAACACTCAAGTTCAACAGCCTTTAACATTTTACAGTATTTTTTGTCCCATGTCTTTTTCATGCAAGAATATTTTAAAACTCCAATGTCCCAAATATCATGTTATTTCATCTCTCGAAAGTCTGTTTCAAAGAGGGAGTTGGGTGAGAAGAAGGCATTGTCTTAATCTCACTTCTCTTCTCACATATAAAAGCATATTTAATACCCAGTGATACTTAAATGTCTTCTATTCAGAAAAAACTGACCCTTTATAGTTTTTTTAATAAAATCAAGGTCTACTCATTATAGTGCATTCTTTTTTAACTTAAGCATAGTTAGCATATATTATTACGTTAGTTTCAGATGTATGGCTTAATGCTTGACATTTATATATTACAAAGTGACCATTACCATGATAAGTCTATTATCTGTCTGTCACCATATAAAGTTACTATGATATTATTGAGTGTATTTAATTCTTAAGACTCCCCATGCTTTTCATTTTTGAAGCTGTTGTATTATTTTCCTCTTGGGTAAATAAATCTAGTAGACTTTTCAGTTAAATCTTCTGTTTCTGTTTTTTTAAATTCTTACCCCCTGTGTTTTAAAGGTTTAAAAAATACTCCTCTTTCATCACGTACTGTATGCATTCGCTGAGATTACCTGACATGTTCTTCTGGGTGCATTTTTGGTTCAGATTCAGTAGAAAGTCTGACTATATCTGCATTAGTGCGAAATATACTTTAGTTCATTACAGATTCAGTTACATAGAGCATTGTCATCTTTGGTGTTCTTTTCCTTTTATTTCTTCTGCAGTATTTTCTGATTGAATTATAATAAGCAGAAGTAAAGCTAAAGTTTATAAAAGTTCCAGAGCAATACATATTCCAGTATTTTGTGCTTAATCCTTGTCATTTAATGATTGTTCTCTTTCTCTTTTTATCCCTAAAGCTCAAGCTATAAAAGCCAAAGGTCCTGTGACCATCCCATACCCTCTCTTCCAGTCGCACGTTGAAGATCTTTATGTAGAAGGACTCCCGGAAGGGATTCCTTTTAGAAGGCCGTCTACTTACGGAATTCCTCGCCTTGAGAGAATATTACTTGCAAAGGAAAGGATTCGTTTTGTGATTAAGAAGTAAGACTTCTGGACTTTCCTTTTTGTTCATGATTAGTGCGTTTTTTAAAATATTGTTGACAAACATTCAGTCACCTGGGCTACATTTAAATTAAGTTTGAATCATTATATATTGTTTTATTTTTACTTCCCACCTGTCAGTGAGCTGTGTCAGTCACGCCCGAGTTGGGTTTGGAACCTGAACACCTGTTATACCTGATTGCGTACAACTGTCCTTTTCTTTTCCAATTTCCTGCAAAATATACTAAAGAAAGTATAGTACTATTGTCATGTTTTTAGGTCTCAATTTTTTATTTTTTCAATTTTTTGAGCATATATCGAAATATATATAAATTGTAAGATTAAAAATAAATGAAACAATACAAGCCCTGGCTGATATGGCACAGTGGATTGAGCGCTGGCTATAGACCGAAAGGTCGCTGGTTCACTTCCCACTCAGGGCATGTATTCCTGGATTGTGAGATCCAGGTCCTTGTTTGGGGGCCTGTTAGAGGGAAACACAGGTTCATGTTTCTCTCCCTGTCTTTCTCCCTCCCATTCCCTCTCTCTAGAAATAAATAAATAAAATTTTAAAAAATAAATAAATGAAGTAACACAAGTAAGAATGGGAGGAAAAATGAAGATAGTAGAATGCTACAAATTGTTTAGCATTGACATAAAGGCCGTGACAAGTTTTTTTTTAATAATTTAAAAGATTTTATTTATTTATTTTTAGAGAGTGGGGCAGGGAGGGTGAAAGAGAGAAACCTCTGTCCATTTCCTTTCTTGTACCCAAACGGGGGACTGAACCCACAGCCCCGCTATGTGTCTGAAAGAAATCAAACTGGTAACCTTTTGCTCTACAGGACAGTGGCTCAGTGGATTGAGTGCTGGCCTGCGAACCAAAGGGCCACGTGTTGGATTCCCAGTCAGGAACATGCCTGGGTTGCAAGCCAGGTCCCCAGTCAGGGATGCATGAGAGGCAACCAGGCATTCATGTTTCTCTCCCTCTCTTTTCCTCTGTCTAAAAATAAGTACATAAAAATTGAAAAATAAAAAAATAAGTGCACTTCTGGCTGGTGTAGCTGAGTGGGTAGAGTGTGGGCTCCAAACCAAAGTGTCACCGGTTCAATTCCCAGTCAGGGCAAATGCCTGGGTTGCAGGCTAGGTCCCCAGTCGGAGGCCATGTGAGAGGCAACCAGACATTGATGTTTCTCTCCCTCTCTTTCTCCCTCCCTTCCCCTCTTGAAAATATATAAAAAGAAAAAGCATTTTTAAAAAGATACATATAATATTTTTAAAAAGTGCAGAATTGGAATTGGACGTATAAATGTTTCCATTTTAAAATGACAGCCACATCATACATTTTAGTATTTTATATTCTCTCAGATTCTATTGAGATTACAGTAAAAGGTTGGAAAACTAAGAGGCCATTTATCAACAGGTTCCTGCAGTGCAAACATACTGACACTTCCCATTACATTCATGAAACAAGTACTAGATATACTTGTGAAAGGGAACAATTGGAGGAGAGTTTTGTAGCAAATGATGAAATGTAATTGCTAAAGTAAATTTTTCAATGAAATTGGATTACAAGGGTTGTTAGTCTTGTACATTGTAAAGAAGGTTCTGTCTGTGAGACACAAGAAAGAATAGACTGAGTCATCTATTGCCATCGGACTTGAAGTGAAAAGAGAAGGAAAGTCTCAAAAATGAGTCCCCTCATAAAATTTCAGTGCCCTAAGGATCAGGGGGAAAAAATCATTTGGTTCTAGAGAGGAAACCAGGTCATTCATAAAGAATGAAGCCACACTGATGAAAAACCTACTTTGAGCAGGAAAGGATGTGGTACCACTAACTAAGCAATTCTTTCCGAGTTCCGAGTCAAGTGATTTGAACCTCAAATTCCACAGCCAGCCAAACAAGTATGAAAGCAAATAGAAATATTTCAACCTGGAAAAGGAAAGATAGCAGTTAGGGTTACCGGAGGTAACAACAACAAAAAACTCTTATTCAGATTAGTTTAGTACAGGGAGTTGCTTATCTCATGTAGCAAGGAGACCCAAGATAGGATGATGGGAACTTGTGGCATTTGGGGCTTTGCTTCTCTTTTCTAGATTCCTCCTTTTTTCAAAAGATTTCATTTATTTGCTTTTAGAGAGAGGAGAATAGAGAGAGAATGAGGAGAGAAACATAGATGGTTGCGTCTCACAACTCCCCCCAGACATGTACCTGGACTGGCAGTTGAACCAGCCACCTTTCAGTTCACAGGCTGGTGCTCAGGCCAGTGTGCCACACCAGCCAGGGCTTTCCTTGTTTTGATAGTTTCCTTAGACTGGTCTTGAGCTCGATGCAGTAGTCCAGGCATCACAGCTAGATATATCTCTGAAGGAGAGACAGTAGCTACCTATGTTTCTTTAAGAGCAAGGACACCTTGGGATATGGCCTTAATTCTCTGGTTAGAATTGTGTCAAGTGCTTATTACTGAGCCAGGCACAGGCATGGGAAAGATAGTGTCTTGCTGGATTTAGATCAAATAGTACTCACCCCCCAGGGAGTGTGTATGGGTTTGCTTCTCCTGAAAGGCATGGCTTTCACTTTAAGTTCTTCTATTGTGAATGAGTCTCTGGACCATGATCATATTATAACTGATTGTAAAAAAAATTTTCTGATGTATCTTTTAGCTATTAACAATAACGTAAATAACAGGAGGACAATAGTCATATCATTTGCAAAAGCTTCTAGTGCATTTCTCTAATAATGCTCTGGTACTGCTGAGTAAATGGAGAAGGTAACAACAACCTTGATTAAAAGGTACAAGCAAGCAAGCTTGCTTGTCTCTATTTGCATGAAATAAAAGAATGACTCTTTTTTTAAAGGATTTAGCTTTTACAATGGGAAAAGGGCCCAAGACATACCTTAAGATGATAGGTGAGCTGTTCTCCACAGGGAGGAACTTGTTGCTTATAGACATTTTTTTTCCAATACATTGTAGTTTAAGATTTATTAGTTTCTAATAAAACTGAGCAAAATGGCTTGTTCTAAAACTCTGACCCTAGCCAAGAGCTAGAAACAAAACCCCCCTCCCTACACATTGATATATTAAGTGTACAATGATCCCTCACCTATCGAGGGAGGAACATTCCTGAGACACCTATGATAGGTGAAAATCTGCAAAGTAGCAGCGTTATATTTATGTTATTATTTATATATTTTAAGGCTTTATAAAGCCCTTCCCACACTCGTATAAACCTTTCCCACTCTCTTACTAATCTTTCCCACACTCTTATAAACATTTATAATCTGAAGTGACAAAGAGAGATGCTGAACATAAGGACACAGTGCAGGAGAGCAAACAGACCAATGCTACGGTCACTGAGCCAATCAGAGCCCAGGATACAGAACACAGTGCTGTGGTTGGTCGCTCTCCAGTCCATCAGCCAATAGTGTGCCATGTACAATCTCAAGCTGGCAAACTTGTGCAAGTGGTAGTGGTGTACTCCATTTCCATTGTGTACAGTAAGGTATTCATCCACTGATGAAATACATACTGTACTTTATTTCTTTTAATATGTTTGAATTACATTTATATACTTTTGATATTGTTTTAAAAGTTTTAGGTAAAAATAGTTAAAATTATAAATACTCTTTAAATAACTATATATTGCAAAATCCTGCGACATAGCAAAAACTCCACGATACAGAATTAGATACAGTTGTCTCTCACTATATTGCAATTCACTTGTTGCGGCTTCACTGTATGGCGGATTTAAAAAATATATAAATATATATTGGACTTCCAGCCAAGATGGAGGCATAAGTAGACACACTGTGCCTCTTCACAAAACTAAAATAAGGACAACAAAAATTTATGGAAAAAAATCCAACCAGTACTGAAAGAAAATTGAACTGTTTTAAAGTCTGACAACCAAGAAATTAAAAAAGAAACATTCATCCAGACTGGTAGGAGGGGAGAAGTTGGGTGGCCAGAACGGAGAGGGCTCACTGCAAAGCAGCAGATGGTGGACCCCTGGCACACAAGGAAGCAGCAGGCAGACACAGAAAGGTGGCGGATTGTGGAGGGGTGTGGCACACAAGGTGGCTGGCTGACCGGGTGGTCCCACATTCATGTGCAGATACTGGGCAAAACTGGGGAGGAAGACAGACTGCACAACCCATGGCTTGAGCATGGGGAAATAGAGCCTCAAAACACAGATTGAAAACACCTGTGGGGGGTTGCAGTACTGGGGAGATTCCCAGCCTCACATGAGAGTTTGTTGGAGAGACCCACAGGGTCCTAGAAGGTACACAAACCCTCCCACATGGGAATCAGCACCAAAAGGGCCCAGTTTGCTCGGGGGAAGTGGTGTAAGTGACTGAAATCCGGCAAAGAGGGGAGCAAGCACCATAGTTCCATCTCAGACCCCTCCCCCACATACAGCGTCACAACCCAGCGCCTCAGCAGCCCGTCCCTGGTAAACACCTAAGCTCTGCTCCTCATAATTAACGGGCACAAACAGACCAAAAATGGCTCAAGAAGATCTCAAAGCCCCAGAGCCCATAAATCTGAGCGACAAAGAAATAGCAAAACTTTCAGATGCACAGTTCAAAACACTGGTGATCAGGATGCTCACAGAACTGGTTGATTATAGTCACAAATTAGAGGAACATACGAAGGCTAAACTAATTGAAATGAAGGAAAATGTACAGGAAAGCAATAATGATGAAGAGGAAACTGGGACTCACATCAATGGTGTTGACCAGAAGGAAGAAACAGGAATTCAAAAAAAAATGAGAGGCTTAGGAACCTCCAAGACATCTTTAAACATTCCAACATCAGAATTATAGGGGTGCCAGAAGGGGGAAAGGAAGAGCAACAAGTGGAAAACTTATTTGAACAAATAATAAAGGAGAACTTCCCCAGTCTGGCAAAGGAGATAGATTTCAGGAAGTCCAGGAAGCTCAGAGAGTCCCAAAGAAGTTGGATCCAAAAAGGAACACACCAAGGCACATCATAATTA